CACCCATCCCTGAGGAAAAGGCAATGGAATGACACCCATCCCCTCTTGTCTTAGCCCAGAAATCGTTCCTCCCACTTTCACACATGATTAAAACTTAACTCGAGAGTGTCTGTCACAGGCAAAGGATGAAAGAAATTCCAGAACCTGGAACTTCCAAGACTTTGGCTTTGAGTTTAGCATTTGTTCCTCCAGAGCTTTCTTAAAAGCCAGAGAGCTCCTCCAGCCGAGCTGCAGCGCTTCCYCTTGGCCGTCCCCGAGTGTTCTGACTCATGGAACTGGAAGCAATTAAAGCGGGTCCATTATCCGCCTCTCCGCCGCTCCCCCGGGCCATCGCCCTGTCAAACGTGGCAATTAGAAAGAAAAGGCTCCGGGGGCCTCCGACAGATGCTTTGCAAACTTTTTTTTTGTTCAGGAGGCCAAAGCGAGCTGCGATTTGGCGCAGTTTGTAGAACCGCGGCCTCTCTGTGCTGCTCTGCCCTGGTCTCTATTGATTTGGAGATATTCTAATGCGCCTTTCCTGCAGTGGAGGGTCAATAACCATCTCCCGCTCCGACATAAAGGGAGTGCTTTACAATACAAAGCCTTTCGCTCATGCACACCGCGTTTTGCCTTTGTTTATAGTAGGGACACTCTGGAGCTGCCCAATTCCCTGCTCGGAGTGGGCATCGTTTGAAATTCCGAGGGCATCGTCTGAAATTCTGGGGACATCGTTTGAAATTCTAGGGGCATCATTCGAAATTCTGGGGACATTGTTTGAAATTCTGGGGTCATCGTTTGAAATTCCGAGGGCATGGTCTGAAATTCCGCCCTGGGCTGCTCCGCTGGTCCCTCCCGTTTGTCCTGTGGCCAGAGGTGGGGCTGTGCCGGTGCCAGCGGGAAGAGGGCAGCGCTCGGATGAGTTTGGAGTGAAAGTGGATTGAGAGGTCAATGAGGAAGGAGAATTGGTTCAGAGCAGCCTGCAGTTTCCCTCCCTCCTGCTGCGGGGAGGAAGGGTGAGCAGGATGGAGTAGGATGGAGCAGGATGGGGCAGGATGGAGTGGGGTGGAACACGATGGAGCGGGATGGGGCAGGATGGAGCGGGGTGGAACGGGATGGAGTGGGATGGAGAGGGATGGGGCAGGATGGCTCAGGATGGAGAGGGATGGGGCAGGATGGCTCAGGATGGAGTGGGATGGAGCGGGATGGAGTGGGATGGAGCGGGATGGAGCAGCTGGAACAGGATGGAACAGGCTGGAGTGGGATGGAGCAGGATGGCTCAGGATGGAGAAGGGTGGAGTAGGATGGAGAAGGGTAGAGCGGGATGGAGCAGGGCAGAGCAGGGTGGAGTGGGATGGAGTGGGAT